TGAAATGATGATAATATTATGGACCTCAAAGTTAGTATGATTTTTCCTTTTACTTGTTTCTGTTATACAATGGTGCTTCAAAAAGCTCTTTGAAAAAGTGGAATTATCAGATTTATTTTGATGCAAAAAATTAGTAATCAATATGTAGTTTTTTCGTAGCACATTTCCCATGAACTATTTGAAAGCCCTTTATTTAAAACTGTTAATTTCCCCTTCTTTCCCTTTACTGATGGCTTTAAAATTCATTACATTTTACTCTGATATTATTTCTGGATATTGGTGTCATTACTTAAAACATCCAGAAATGACTCTTGGCCCTGCATACGAATTCATGATGGCATTGGGAGATGGTCTATTGCATACTGTATATTTTTTTAAATGTAAATTTGTTTAGGATTGTTCAGATATAGTTGCCTTTTCCTGTCTTTAAGGTTGTGCAATGTCCCAATTTAGAATTTAGAAAAGGAATTGAAGATGAGGTTGAAATGTACACTGAATTTATGAAGGCCTGTGTAGGTATGGTTTACTGCCACTATAAACAGAGCAAATGGCATCTGCATGAAGAGAAAATTGATTAAATTTAGTGTCTTTTTAAAATTTGAATAATACAGTTTTTGTTCATCTTTAGATAGTTAGAGCACTTTCTTGGAGTTTTTGGCAAGGTTCTTGTAAATTCTTTGGTTCATTTCCAGGTCATTTTTATTTCTCTTGAACTTTCTTCTGTCTTCAAATGCCATGTTTTGTAACTCTATGAGTTGAGGTTGGAGATTCTCAATGCTGATTTTCACAGTAATTTAGAAGAGCACAGCCACTTGTGTTGCATTGCTGGGATTTAGATTCTAGCTAAACCAACTACTAGTAAGCTGTATGACCTTTAGCAAATTAACACCATGCCACAGTTTCCACATTTGTAGTAGAGTAATCATTCTTATTTCTTAAGGTGGTTGTGATGTGAAAGAGATCGTATACTTGTATATGAAAGTATTAACAGCATTTCTTGACACATAGTGGGAGCTTGCTAAATTTGGCTTATTCTGTTATTGGGAGCTATTTCTCAAATTTGCAATCTTGGTTTTGCCCACAATTTTATACTGAAAGGATAAATGGGATTTGTTAGTGAGAGGGTCAAGAATAAATATTTCCAGGAATGGGGATATAGATGGAAATTCCAGAGGGAGTTTAGCATAAGTGAAACAGAAAGCTTTTGGCAGAATGCTCAAGTACATCAGTGAATTTATTTAGTGTTTTTATTTTTGCTATTGAAGGATTTATATTGTTTCCTTATAGCAAAAGGGCTTCGTTTTGTTGTCTACCCTATTTCTGGGCTAACAAGCAAAAACTTCAGTCACAGCAATAATAAAATAAAATGTATTAAATAGATTTTTTAAAGGGGAAATTATTAGTACCTTGGTATTGCCTTTATTCCCTATTGAACTAAAAGGAATTCTTATTGCTGTAAAATATATCATATTTTAAGTTTATTGTATGTGTCTATAAATTTTGTATACACTACCTTTGTTCATAATCCAATTTAATATACAGGTTGGAATCTGTTCACTTAAATTTGTTTTTAAAAATTGTTGGTTTGATAACATAAAATTGAAACATAGTTCCAGTTCACCTTTTTTGTTTGCTTGTTTTTTCTACTTTTGTGTAATAGAAGATGGGTGCCACATGCTAAATTAGACACAGGTTTTGCTATGAAGGTATTTTAAAGTGAATAAAATAATTCATGCTGAATAAATCACAGCCAGAACACTGATTCTCTTGAAGGAAGTGGTTTGTTCTGGGTAGCCAGGTTGGTGTGCTTTCAGAATGTACATCTGGGAACTAGATTAAATTTTAGTCAGATTCAGTGAAGTGATTTCATATTTGAAGTGGTTATTTTTCCATTGAAAATCTAACACTGATTTCTTTGAAATTTTGAAAGTCTTAATTTCTTATATGTATAACTATACGTACTGACATTTTGAAACATTTATAGGAAAAATGATTGATGGTGAAAAGTATGCTTACCTGGAAAACTTTTTTTTTAATAACTGTGAATGTTTTTAAACCTAAGATGTTTTGATCTGAATGACTTTAAATTGTGAATTTGTCTCCCACCGAGTCTACTGTGAATTCATTTGAATGTATCTATATCATATAAATATTTAAAAAGTCCTCCTTTTGAAATATTTGAAATTATATACTGCAATGTCAAAGTAATATTCTTAATGTAGTTAAAGGGGAAAAAAGTCACTCCTGATTTTCATTTCTAAAAGCAACAATCATAGTTTGTGTTTTTAATTTTTTTCTATTTTTTCTTTGTTATTTCAATTGTATATACAATTTTTTACCCCCTACTTTCCTTCCTTATACATACCCACACACATATACCCACACATGAGATTTATGACAGAAAGTTCATGGGCAGTTGAATTAAAAGATAAGTTTATTTTGGTGCAAAAAATTGAAAGTTATGCATATGCAGGGTCTTCAAAAACTTGATGGAAAATGTGTGCTATGGAAAAACTGCATGGATTTCAAATACACACTTCTCATGAACTTTTTGAAGGCCCCTTGTATGTATGGAGTTCAAATTTTTTTGAATTGTTATTTAATTGAAAGGTGCAGTGATAGAAACAGTCGGGGAAAAGAGAGTGCAAGCAAGCTTTCATTTTCTGGTTCAGCACCAGATGCCTGCAGTAACCATGGCTGCGCCAGGCTGAAGCCAGGGGCCAGGGACTCCTTCTGTGTCTCCCATGTGGGTGCAGGGGCCCAAGCACTTGGCCATCTTCCACTGCTTTCCTAGGTGTATTAGCAGGGAGCTGGATCAAAATTGGAGCAGGCAAGACCTGAACTGGTGCTCTAGGATACTGGCATTGGAAGTGGCAGCTTAATATACACTGTGCCACAGTGCTGGCTGCTAAAGTTATCTTTTAACTCCAGTTTTCTATGAACTTTTGAAGTATCCTCATGTATACACACACACACATGTAGAATTGACTTTTAGATCCCAATTTGCTTCAGAGAATGCCTTCAGAATATTGGTTAAAAGTATTAAGATAAAAAAGGCATTTTTTATTTAAAACAGAAACTGGTGTTTTGTATTACATCTTTGTAAGTACTACTTAAATTAGAAATTACTCAACACCACATATTTACTTTTTAACATTATCCTTTGTAATATTTCTCACATTTAGTTGTGGATTTTATGTAAAAGGGAAAAAAACCCCTTCTTGATTGGTTTGATTGAATTTAAGAATGTTATTTCCTAGATAATAGTTTTTATCGTCTGTTACTCTATTTTATATTGTTAGTATTAAAATGTTAAAGTGATTTTTGTTTGATGTTATTTAGAGATTAAGGCTTTATATGAGTGTGGGAGAGATTCTCTCAGAATAGGCCAAGTAGTTATTTTTAAAAATAGGATTAAGAGAGAGAAGCCTGAAAGATGAACTAAATTAGTTTTTTGACTTGAAGCAGATTTTCAAACATCTTTTTCATTATGAACCTGAAATCAGTCAATAAGAACCTGGTGGTTATGATTTGCAAAGCATGTCCATTGGTGTGGACAAGTTGTTTAATTTACACGAGCCTCATATCTTAATCTGTGAAATTCATTTTATACCAAATAAGAAGTTCTCAATCTTTTTTTCTGTCCCAGTACATCTGAGAGAGAAAACATTTGTCAGCATGAGTCACAGTAATTTTTAAAGGAGCAGTCACAGTAATTTTTAAAGGAACAGGAGCAAAGAGATCCCCTGAGCTGAGAATCACTAAATTAGAGAATATGTGACTTTTCTCTGTGTATAAAATGATCTGATTTGACCAGGTATTTGAGTGCTTAGCACCTGGCACTGGACCGGATGTTGTGTAAAATGCAAAAAAGTAACCTGGAGCTCATAGGTTAGTTGAGGGGTAAGACTCATGCTCTCTTTTCCTTATATATAATAAAGACAGAAAATAATATATGCTGATGGCATGAAGATAGTAGAAAAGATCTTTGACATTCACAGACCTTTGATTTTGATCTGGAGCTGTTGTTTTTAGCAATATGGGATTTATTATATGTGATCTAAAATTGATATCTTTTTCCTACCTCCTAAAGTCAGCATGAGCAAAAGATAAAGAGGACACTGTCTTGGTGTTTATTATTAAGGGAAAACAGCCCAGCCTTCTAATTGCCCCTTTCTTAAGCAGAGAATAGTCCAACTGCTAGACTCTGATCTTACTAAATTCACAAAATCATGCTCTGGACAATGCAATAATATTTTCTAGAGGCACTCGATTAGCAGTATTTATATATACAGAACAGCAAAACGATCTCGGTTCAGTCAGAAGGGGAACACTACTTCTATGAGGTCCAGAGGAGGTGCAGCCCTAAGACATGGAGTGGAAGGGGGCCGGTGCCTGGGAAATAGCCTGAAGAAAACAAGAGCATCATTCCCACTAATCAGCTTTATGCTCTTTGGAAATTTATTTAGATTTTCATCTGTAAAATGATGGCCTGAACTTAATGATCTCTGAAGATGTGACTCCTCCACCCCCAAATTCCATGCTGTGTGAATCTCGATTCTATATAAGGAATCTCTAAGAAAGATGATTCCTTATTTTCTGCCTCCTTAATTAAGCATTGGAGTTCTTTCCTTGGCTGTCTTCTCACCCTTCATTTTCTGTCAGCTGTCTAGGTTTCTTGTTGTATCATGTGTTTTAAAGGTACCCACATTTCTATAAACCTGATTATCCAGCTGTTTGTGTGTGTATGTGTGTGTGTGAATTTCTTTCCACATGTTTTGAAGGATCTCAGACTCATTAATAGCATCTGAATTAGAATCTTAGCAGTCATTTAGGTTCCTATGCCTTCCTAACATTTAATTCATCACCATGTCCTATTAATTCATTTTTTATGCTGTGGTACTTGGTTAGCTGCAGTCATTGTATTTGTAGTCTCCTATGAAACCTTAATTTCCCTATCTCCATTTTCTTTCCATCTTGTCTATCATGTTGTTACAATGAATTCTGTCAGAAAACATATTTCTCACCTGTGTGTCCTCAGTGCCAAGAACATGTGATAATTTAATCTGCAATACCCTATAAAGACCCAGGATAGTATTTAAGAAAATCTTTGGTAGCAGTCCCCATCTGTTTCAGAGGTGGAAGCGGAGTTCCTGTGTGGACTGCTATAATTTTGCAGTGGATGAAAGGACTGTCGTAACAGAAGCAGATTTTGGCCAGCAGACTGCTCTTAGTTCCTTGGAGAGCATTCTTCATTTGCTGATGGCACCACCATCTGCTCTTTGTTTCTTGGCTGAAAATCTGGGGATGATTTTTTTCTGTTACTTCCTGTATCCATTTAGATACCAAGAATTCCTGAGTTTGCCTTGTATTTAAATATCCCTTTCTCCATCTCCATCGTTTTAACCTTAAGTCAATCCATAGGATTTGTTGCATGTCTCCGTTCAACAATTTTCTGACTGCTTTTGCTTCAGTCTTGCTTTAAAAATCCATTTTCTAATTTTTGGCCATGAATTTTTTAAAAACACAATATGATATGCTACTCCAATGCTTAGATTCCTTCATTTACCCTCTTCATGTCTCCAAATCAAGTTTAGTGCCCTAAATGTCACATGACCTTAAACGAGTTCTCACTTTTCTAATCTGTATTCTCACCACTTAGTCTCCTTCTTTGGGTCCAAGCCATGATGATCTTTGTAGTTTGTCCTACTCCTTGATGCCCCTTTTTCTCTTCAAAATTCATTAGGAATATTCCGAAGGCCACCTTCCCTTATTCTCCCAGTTGCGGGTGGTTTTGTACCTTTCCGGTGCACTTCATTTGTCTGCATTGTAACAGTTCACATTGTATTTGTGTGTTAACTCTATTTAGACTTATGATTCTTGAAGATTGGGATCATGTCATTTTCTTTGATGTATTTGTTCCAGTATCTATTTCTGTCACACAGTTGACATTTTGCTCATTCCCATCAAGAATAAATATGTGATTATGCTATAGGTTCCATGGTGTCAAATGAGAAAAACAAGAAGAAAGTTGATACATTAGTGATATCAGACACTCCCCAGAATGTGCATTCTATTGGTGGAATGAAGCATAGAAGTACTGAATATATTCCAGACATTTCCCTAAGCACTTCACATGTATTGTCTTGTTTAATTCTCCTAACATCCCTAGTAGGAAAATGCTAGTATCATTTTATAGATGAGAAATCTAGACACAGAGAGAAGGTAAGTGAGTCACTTGAGGCCATGTGGCAAGGCATGGCTCCCAATTCAGGCCATGTAAAGGCAGAGTCCATGTTTTACTACTTTGTCTCACCTTTAAGTGACAGGCGAATTAGAGGCTTTTGATGGAGAATGGTTATTGTGTTTCTTCTGCGGGAGCATGAAAGTATGCATGAGAACTTATATATATGTTATTCTGTTGCTACTTACATATAGGAAACAATTCAGTAAAACTTTATGTAATGAACCCAAGAGTCTTTGATCATACTATGCTAAAGTTGGCCTCTGTGATTCATGCATTATCAAGATGCCTTGACTTCCTTATATTAACGACAAATATTCTTGCAATAAAATTAGAATATAATTTTCACACAAGTAATAAAATTTGCATAGAACATGGAAATAGCATGAGCTATGCCATGAATGTTAGAAAAGCTTGAGTTTTTATGGCAGAGAATTCCAGTCTGTTCATGGGAGTAGCAAGGAAGAGATGAGTGGTTGAAAGGTAATTGAGGTTATTTTGCAAAGGACTACACATAATTAGATTTTTTGTGTGTAAACAGTCACACTGAATATATTTTATCAGGTTAGTGAAGAGGAAGATAGAAACCATAGTGTACAGAGAGAGGCTAGTTTGCCGAGCTGAAGGTTGACAGCACAGAGACACCATATCAGACACTATGGACACTGGTCCTAAGGGCCTGGCCTATGTAGGTGGGAAAGGAGAGGACACATTTGAACAAAGTTAATGGAATTAGTATTAATTCATTATAAAAGTTGTGAGAAAACAGGAGAATCAGAAATAAATGACTCCAGAGTTTCAAACTTGTCTGGATAAGAAGAGAATATTAAGGATTGTTGGGTTTGTGGGCAAGGGGATGAATTTAGGAGAAGCTGCATGAATCTGGGGTGGTGCTTGTATGAAGTGTGTATACAACTCTTGCTAATTACCCTTGTAGAGCAGTAGTTCCTAATTGGAGGTAATTTTGTTCCACAAGGGACATTTGGCAATGTCTGGAGACATTTTGGGGATGCCGCTAAACATCCTACATTGCAGAGGACAGCACCTCACCCAACCCTGTCAAAGAATTATCTCATCCCAAATGTCAAGAGTATCAAGGCTGAGAAATCATGGCTCTGAGAATCTAATGTGTGCAGGATCAATTGTACCATGAAATTCTCATCTAGTAATTGAGCACATGTCAAAGAATGCACATTTACACTTCCCTTTTAACTTTCACTTTCATTCCTTTAGGAATCTTTCTTTCTTTCTTTTTTTAAAATTTATTTGAAAGCATTACAGAGAGAGGTCTTTCATCCACTAGTTCACTCCCCAGATGGATGCAATGGCTGGAGCTGAGCCGATCTGAAGCCGTATGCCATATGGGATGCCAGTGCTTCAGGACAAGGCTTTAACCCACTGCGCCGCAGTGCTGGCCCCAGGAATTTTTTAGAAAACTGAAAGAACTGTTGTAAACTGATGTTGTTTGTTTATTTAGCACTCAGAAACGTGAGTAGGAGATATGCACTATATCAAATACTTGCTGAAACAGAGAAATGGAAGTTGCAGTTGTCAAAGAGCCTTGCAGTTTGAATGCGTTGCTTGATACACAGAACAGTTTAGAGTATTGCTTGCAGCTATGAGAGTTTGCTGAGTATAGGGTTGTTACTGAATGTTTGATTAGATAAGCTCTGTTCCTTTGTTTTGTTTTAATTTATTTGAAAGGCAGAGTTAGAGCCAGAGGGAAATTATCTTCCATCTGCTGTTTACTCCTCAAATGGCCACAATGGCTGGGGTTGGTCCAGTCTAAAGTCAGGAATCCAGAACTCCTTCCAGGTCTCCCATGTGGGTGGGAGTACTTGGGTCATTCTTTGCTGCTTTCCCAGGCACATTAGCAGGGAATGGATCAGAAGCAGAGCAGCCAGGACTCAAATGGGTGCTGCAGTGTGGTTTGTCCCAGGCAGCAGCTTAATTTGCTGTGCCCCAATGCTGGCCCCTGTACATTTATTTCAAAGCAAGGTCTTTTTTAGTGGATGTTTTCAGTAATATGTTGTGTTGTTCAGAGTCATTGATGTAAAGAAAAAATTGGATTGTGATATACCAATTCCAAGTGTTATTGCTAGGGTTTTCCTTATTGACTTCTGAGAAAAATTGAGACTCTAAAGAGTAATGTTTCGCATTAGATTTTTTAAAATGTTTTTTACTTTAAAACATTTTTATTATAAAAGTAATTTTAGTGTAGAAGTATATAAAGTTTGAAATGAATGTTACACCTTCTCTTTCCTAGTATTACTCTCTAGAAGTGATTATCTTTAAAAGTTCACTTACATGCTTTTGAACTTTTTAAAGCCAAAAGATAATGACAGGAGATCATAGTTATATAATACTGCTATTTTTTTTCTACTTAATGTATCAGGGTTATCTTTTTATGTCTGTGGATCTTCTGTATTTGTAGCATACTAGTCCATTGTTTGGATGGATCGTGATCTATTTAACCATTCCCTTTTGATAAATATCTAAAATTTGTTTAGCCATTGCAAACAACACCATGCTAAACAATCATATGTGATTGCATAGTATTATTAATATTTCTGTAGACCACCATTATCAGAAGCATAGGGTACATAGTAAAATTTTTGATTTTGTCAAATTTTTCTGTGCTAAAGGTGGTACCAGCTGCACTCTTGCCAGTAGTATCAGATGGTGCTATTTTATCCCTTTCCCTTGGCAACACTAGATGCTCATGAGAAGTAGAAATATTTTTTATTCCTAGTCCTCGTGTCCTCTGTCTTCCATTTCTTCCTCTCCTCCCTCTCCCATCTCCTTCTTCCCTCCTCTGCCACTTCTTTCTTTGACTTGTGTTTGTTGAGCTGCTGTATTTCTCACTCACTCTCTCTTTCTGAGTTGTTTCTTCCTCTTGGTTTGCAGGAACTCTACCTTTGTTAACAACTTGCATTTATATTTTCCCCACAGACTTAGTGTTTGCTCATGGCATCTTTAATCAGGGGGAAAATTTTAAATTTTGGTATTGAGCTTTTCAGTCTTCTTTACCTGAAGATTATTAATATATTTATGTCTTTTTACTTTATCTTCGTATCTTTAATTAATAAGGAATTTCTATATGATACCCCATAGACATGTGATAGAGCCTTTTGTTCAAATGAATTGCTAATATTCCCAGTACAATATGTTGAATAACCTATCCTTTTTTCACTGATAGGAAACACATCTTTCCATACCAAATTTCTATAATTATGAAAATGTATACATTCCTATTCCTATATATTTTCCATATACTTAATTCCTGTTAGTTCCTATATACAACATACATATAAATATATTCTTGTTAAGTGGTCCATTTGCAGAGATCTGTTCCAATTCATTGAGCTATTATTGTGCCATTGCCAGATTTTAGTTTCCTCCAGCTTTATATGAGATCTTGATATCTGGTAGTTCAAACTCTCTTAACTAATTTAGATTCATTCTTTTTTTTTTTTTTTTTTTTTTTTTTTTTTGACAGGCAGAGTGGACAGTGAGAGAGAGTGACAGAGAGAAAGGTCTTCCTTTGCCGTTGGTTCGCCCTCCAGTGGCCGGCGTGGCCGGCGTGCTGTGGCCGGTGCACCGCGCTGATCCGATGGCAGGAGCCCAGGTACTTACCCTGGTCTCCCATGGGGTGCAGGGCCCAAGCACTTGGGCCATCCTCCGCTGCACTCCCTGGCCACAGCAGAGAGCTGGCCTGGAAGAGGGGCAACCGGGACAGAATCCAGCGTCCTGACCGGGACTAGATCCCGGTGTGCCGGTGCCACAAGGCGGAGGATTAGCCTAGTGAGCCAAGTACCCGCATGGGAGACCAGGATAAGTACCTGGCTCCTGCCATCGGATCAGCACGGGGCGCTGGCTGCAGCGCGCTGACTGCAGCGGCCACTGGAGGGTGAACCAACGGCAGAGGAAGACCTTTCTCTCTGTCTCTCTCTCTCTCACTGTCCACTCTGCCTGTCCAAAAAAAAAAAAAAAAAAAAAAAATTATTGGTCATTCTCTCACATTTACTCTTCCAGATGAACCTCAACATCAACTTGGCATGTTTTCCCCTAAAATAGTCTCATTGGATTTGTACTATCAGATCATTCTTTTTTTTGTTATGTACTCTTGAAACTCATTTGCATGACACTTAAAAACACTTGAGTTCAAACCAAGGTAAGGTACTTTGTTTTGCTGTCTATATGTGGCTAGGTGGGTGTTTGTTTATTTTATCTTTTTAAAGATTTATTTATTTATTTGAAAGAGTTACAGAGAGGTAAAGGCAGAGAGAGAGAGGTCTCCTAGCCGCTGGTTGCTGGTTTACTCCCCAGACGGCAGAAGCTGGGCCAGTCTGAAGCCAGGAGCTTCTTCTGGGTCTTCCATACAGATGTAGAGAACCAAAGACTTGGTCCATCTTCTGTTGCTTTCCCAGGCACAGTAGCAGGGAGCTGGATTGGAAGTGGAGCAACTAGGACTGGAACCAGCACCCATATGGGATGCCAGCACTGCGGGCAGCCGTTTTACCCTCTATGCCACAGCTCTGGGCCCCAGTGCGTGTTTATTTGAACACTTGATCCTAAACTCAGCTGGAGTCATTTAAAAACTAATAGAATTAATGGGTGCAGAAATTTCCAAACCTTAATGTTACTGTAAATGTTATTGTAAAGCAGCAGTTTTTGTTTTTTTTTTTTTTTAAGATTTATTTACTAATTTGAAAGACCGATTTACAGAGAGGCAGAGGCAGAGG